GTGAGCCAGTCCAATGGTGACCCTCGTTCCGAGCGGTGGGAAATGCCGCCCAAAGCTAATGTTTTCCCATATCTCTCTAAACCTTCGTCCATTTCGAAATTTTTTCGTTCTCGAAGAGAATCACAGTTACATTTTGAAGGAGGTTTTTTTTTTTTGTTGAAGAAATATCTTTTTTTGAGAAAGCCTTTCTGAAAGTTCAATTATCTTATTCAAAGATTAATAAACAACACATGGAGCAGTTATTTACTTGAATGAAGTTACAGTGCCCCGCTTTACTCTTTTCCAATTTCACATTGAATTTCTAAGCTTTCTCTCCTAATCTATTGTTGTTAATGCGCTAAAGACAATCAGAGTTATTAAGAATTAATCTGCTTATAATGCCAGCCTTGAGAGTCCCTGAAGCCCTTGCTATCGATTTTCACGTGAGACCGATTTACGGTGCACTTAAGACGACCTCTTAGAATACCAACAAGTCAGAGAATAGTAATTCAGGAAAGATGTTTAACCCAGGACACTTAACGACAAGCCCGTTCTCGCGGCGTACTAATTGGTATGAATTACGAACAAAAACAAGCTTGCGTTCCGGTGAAAATCTGACGCGCTTTGTGCGCGTATGCTGCCGCTCGAGTTGTTAATTTAACCGCCATAACGGGATCGCGCCGTGCCGCCACAAAGATGGCGCACGACTATTTTCTTTTGTTTTTGGAATGTTTCTAGCAATCTTAACTTACCCATATATACCCTCAGCAATGTGCGAATAACATATTTCCCAGGAGCTGGATGCTGGATTTTGGACAAACTACAATAAATTTTACATACATTTTGTTCTTATTTACATAAGTTTACTATTTGATGGGCGTGGCTTAACTCCATGGTTGGGCGCCACGTCCCGAGAACCCTTCCCCTAAAGGTTTAGGGACATTCCTGCTCGGTGTGGTGTTGTCGCATTTTCATAAGTCACCTACACGCTCCATTCATTCTTTGCCCACCCTAGTTTAATAGGAAGCGAAAGGCGGCTTTCACAGACTTGTCTTGTCACAACGAAAATCTCTTTTTATGTGATGATGAGACTCCCACACCATACTTTAGCCCCGTCTTTACCCCTGCTGTTCACATAAGCCTACATTAAACCCTACCTGGGGTGGCGGCCGTAGACGCGCAACATGGGTGGCGGCCGCGAATGATACACTGGCCGCTCGTTATGGGTTGAGAAGAAAATTTCCGACTTAATTTGTTTTTCAATCGATTTACCGGTAAAGAACATTTCTTACTCTTTCCGACGTTTTTCCCTACTCTTGTTACTCTCTTAACACCAGAGGGGGCCAAAATGAAGCTAGGGCTCGATGAGCAGGGCTAAATCAGCGATCAATGTTATCTTCTCTATCAGAGGTGCTCGCAGATTCATAACATATGTTTGGCTTTGCGGAAGTGATATTTCAAAAGCTATCGTTGCTTGCTTTGAAGAGATTTTTGATTTTTAAGTAAGCCAGTCGGGGGTTTCCGGAAGTCTTTCTTTCTTCCTTTCTTTGTTTCTGGGCATGTTTTACTGTTCTATTGTAATAGTAAGCTTTTTCAACTCACTTTGTTTATTTTCAGTTTGTTGGCAAATTTTTATCGAGTGTATGTGTTTTCTATTGGGTCTTTGTTGATAGTCTCGCTGCGGACTCCGTTCCACGTCTACAAATAAAACAACACTGAACGCGCACAGGCCAGCCGGTTAAACACGTGAATACAGCAGGGCTTGGGAAATTGCTTGCCTATCTTTATCGTCGATTTTTCAGACAGATCTTTCCCAATGTACAAACCCCAGTCTTTTTCACCTCTTCCATGAAGATACACTGATACTCAAGTTAAAGGATCCAGGCAAAATCATGATTCTATCTCACCCACAATTTATGGCTTGAGACATCGTTCACTATAAGAACGAAACGAAACAAAAATTGCATTGTTTTGGTAAAAAACATTCGAAAAGGCGAAAGTGCGTTCCATGTCAGCAAATGGATAACATCTGTAATAATAAAATGCGAGGAAGCTATCACTTGGATCTCGGGATTGCCATCACTAGAAAATCTTTTGACCTTTTCGCTGTATTGCACTCACACCTCAAAACTTTACTGCACCACGATGTTCTATCAATTTGGTTTATAGCCCTATTCCCCAAAGTATCAACACTTTTCAACCGTGTTCTTTCCATTGCCTCGCCTGATACGTAGCACGCCACAAAAAAGCGATTTCTCTACCATGCCTGCCTTTGGTTCCGCGCCCCTCACTCGACTGTTCATAAAGTGTGGTTTTCGTGAGTTTCTTTCTCTATCGACATCTAAATTATAACTCTCTGAGACCAAATATTCATGCGTGAAACTTTGTATGTTAATTCTAGTGATCACAACTGACATATTCGATTTGGGAAGGAATGGAAGAATTTTCCGGGCTTTTAATTGATAAAGTGAAACGAACAAATTCGTACAACTCGGTAGTAACTCCTGAAAACCTCATAATCGAGCTCCAATCCATGAAGAACTCGCAACGTTTCTTCTCTGTACGCTAGCGGTGCCTTTCTTCCGTCAACAACTTTTTCTCTTTTTGGATGCAACATTCCTTCCGGTAGAAGAAGGTTTGCAATAAGTTCTGGAGAAAAACTCTGAGTGAGAGTTGCTGCTGCTTCAAACTACAACCTTACGCCTTTCCTGTGACTTCACAAAGGGAACGTGCTTGCGCACGGGGCTGTTTGTGAGTTGTCAGGGGCGATTGTCGGCGACAGGTCACCGCGACTTCGAGGTCGTCCTTCGTCAGTCGCTCGCTCGCTCGGATCCCTTCCCCTTATCACCTTCACTGATCGACCGTATTCGTCGAGGGCGTTGGCAGAGCGCCGGGAAGGGAGGGTACCGCCTTCACATCGGGCGAGGGACGCAGAGGCTCCTCCTCTCCATCGCCGGTCGTCGTCGTCGACTCTATCCCTGTTCATCTCTCCGTCGTCCGTTACCGCTGTTTGCTGACCTTCTATCCGATCGAACATGACCACTGGATAACGTATCACTAACACATTCGTACACACATCAGCAGCCGATATTCCTTGCCATGGCGACGGCCGCTACATTAGTGCGGCTACAAGCCATCGTACTGCTACTTCTTACTGTACTTCTCCAACTCCGAGCAGCTCCATCGCATGCGATCGTGAGCGGCATCCTAACCTCTATTGGTAAGCATTCCAACTACACCTATTTTCGATCAGTCAGGATGATCTTCTTTTCCGAGAAATTCCCTTCTACAGTCGTTTCTAAATAATTCCATTATGATGCGAAATTTAGTGCGTAAACCGGGCTTGCCGGATGCGCTCTTCCCATCCGTCTGTCCTCCATCCTGCTCGCAACTGTTCCATGCCGAAGAGGCGATGCTCAACGATTCACTCAGTGACCGCTGCAGTTGTGTGTGTCCAACTACTGCACCCGTTTACCTGAACACGGCTGGATACTGTGTAGATCGCTTAGGTGAGTTTGGCTTTCTCAATAGCAGCCTTTCTATGTTATCATCTTGCGAAAGCCTCCCCACCTTCTCTTCTGAAATCCGCTCAGGGCGATTACAATCCGGAATCCGCTTTGCGGACTACTGGAGGGGATGAACATCTCGTCTTTTCTCGAAGAAGATTTTCACTACAAATCCCGCGGAAGGACATATTCAATCTGCGGGTTCTTTGTATCCGAACATGCCCTCTGGGGGATATTATAGGGGAACAACCGCGATTGTCGGTCGTAGAGGCCATTATTTCGATCGCTACATCCACTTGTGCGGCTGTCATAGCCCTTCATTGGTGATTTCGATGCCTTCCTGCATAGTCTTTTCCAATGACTTGTCTGAGTGATTTCTTCTGATTTGTCGTTGCTCCAGTTGGGTTCATGTGGTATAGTTTAAGTCGAGGTGCTCTTTTAGAATTCACTGATCCAGAGAGAAACTTTCGCTTCCTCCCGAGGAATCGAATCCGCGACAATTGCCTGTTCATTGCATACGACACAGATTCGTAGCGAGATTTACCGCCTGTCCAGTCGGGCCATTCGTGGGAACTCAGCGATAACATCAGTCATCTTACCAGGCACAACAATTCGAGATATGATCCGAAACTTTTCTCCGATCTTGGACACTTTCGGAACTGAGGGCAGCGCTGAAACTGTGAAACGTCTCATCTCAGTGTACAGTTCTGAAGTTTTTCTAGAGCGTTATCAGTTTGTTCGAATGCAAAGTGCTTTGTGGCCTACTAGCCAGCCTGTACTTGGCGCTCTAGATGGCCTTGACTCTGAAAGGTGTAGTTCTTATCGTTGAACCAACACTGTGGAAGTCTGCAAAAGGTCAAACAGCTCTGAGCACTGATGCAGAAACTACGTTCTTTTCCGCTGAGGATTGTGTTCCGGTTCTGGTAGCAAGCTCTCAGTCACCCGTTGAATCACCTTTTTATCCGGAGAATGGCCAATAAGCGGACCACATTCAGCATCGTTTTTGTCCATAGCGATAAATACAATTGAGGTGCTTTCAGACGAATGCCGACATAACCTCGCTTTCAACTCTTCCATCGCAACCGAACGACTCATTCCTGTGCTTTCATTACCAGCCAGGAATGGTGTTCTTCATCCTAAAGTTCCGATTCTATGGACAGGTGCGTTTAGTTCTTATTGAGAAATCGTTGAAAGTGCGCCAGACATGAACGCGCGCTATCATTGATGACGGCCTGTTCTGTCGAGGGCAGGTGCCCATCTCGAATCACGTGTGTGATTTCTGATTGCCACATTGAGCGATCGCTATAATCGGCAATAAATCACAAAAAATTCAATCCCATTAGCTCCATCTTTCCAAACGACTACATGATTGAAAGATCTTAAAGCCGCCATAGATGGCCTCTTTCAGAGGGTGAAATCCCTGTTTGCTCATCCTGGGGCCAGTCGAGATCCGCCGCGCTCAGCGCGGTGTCTTCGACAATCTCACGATCATCGATGGAGAGCTGACCATCCAACCGCTCCCACACAGACATTATATTATGGTTATTCTCTTCTTCGACATTGCATTCGCCTCCACATGGCGTCCAGTAGTTGATGGTTTTAAGTACCACCGCCACAAGAAACTAGACCTTTCAATATTGTTTGTGGTCTTCTCACTTAAATGAGTGGGCGTTGACATTTGCTAAAGAGGATTTTTAAGGCGTGCCTGGAGACATCTTCCTCTGTGTTTATATCTTCAAATAGTAAAGATAAAAATAAACATGATTGAGAGTTCGGTTGGCGAATCAATTTCCTCTTTTGGGCATGCGCCACACAATAGTACTTCCATCATAATGCCCAGTCGCAGATCTTCAATGCCATTTGCCACCTGCGCAATGTTCACTAGCACGGGCTGTTGAATATTACAACTCGAATAGCTTTCTGTGCTTTCACCAGTGTAAGCGCCGCAAGCCCGGATGACTGACTCCAGGAGAAGGCAGCGCCACGCGCTACCGCCCCCAATTCTCCGTTAGTACTCCGAATGCAGTCCTTTTCCAAAATGTTAGCCATCTATTCCCTTGCAAGTCAAAGTGGGGGGGGGGGGGGTGAGTCGGGCTGGGAACGCGAAGGCCAGGAAGGGGCTGCCAATGGAGGCAATATATGGCCATTCCTCCGGTCTTTCATGTTGTGAAGTTGAGAAATCAACTCTCGGCCCGAGCTGGACTTTCCCCAAAAGTCGTAAAGATGCGGCTGGAGCTAGTAATACCGGCGTCACATTCACCTTCCGTGACCCGTGCAAACTCCAAGCCCGACCTGTTGACATGATAGACACAAATTTAAGTTTATAATTCAGTTTCGAGGATCCGAATCGGACGCTGCCATTTTGACGGGCTCTGTTGTCCAGTTGAAACTGTCCTGCACCGGTTTCGCTCCTGATGAGCACTGCCTATCCTTCAGAGTTGCTGGCGTGTCCGGTATGTCCTCCTCCTGCTCGGAAAGCCCTTTTTTTAGAGTGATAACCATACTGGTTCAGGCTCCAACCCTTATCTGCTCCCATCGACAAGTTCACGAGCTGAGCTGCTGTTCATTCTCGTGTTGGCGTTTCTTCTTGCACTTTCAATCGCGGGCTCATTTGTGGTGTGGCATTTGTGTTGGCGGATCAAAAAGCGACAACTGATCTCTGACATACAAATGCAATTCCTGTATCATCTACAACAACAACACGAAGCACAAAAGGTTAGTTTTCTAGGTTAAGGAGTTCCGCACATAAATTTTGGCCCTTCAGATAGCCGCTCCGCAATCACCCACAGCATCCAACGAGATGGGGCCATGCGAATTCAGAACATTAATGGAGCGAATTCCCAAGCGGCGATTGTATTTTAGTGCAGGTAAGTCTTCACAGGATCCTCTGAGTTTGAGTTCACCTGTGGAAATACAAGTTGTAGAGTACCTGGACGATGCAATGATGGCGAATCCACCACCCGTAGCGGAGCAGTTTCTCACAGATCTTCGTCGAGTGATCGAGGTAGCCAGGGAACGGATACGGATGCGACGATTCGTTCCAATGCTCATCACAATTCCCGAGGATCTTGAAGAGGTGCTAAGCTCCAGGCTTCTGCTTTTTGATCGGTCAATAACGTGCACAAATATTTCCAGAATCGGTACTCAGTTGTATCAGAGATCAAAACCGACAAAACTGAGCCGGTCAATCAGCAAGAATCTCCGAAGAGCGACAAATCGGTCGACAGCGGCCGAGAATCGCGCTCGGACTCAGACGACTCGGGTCGAGACGACGAGGAAGACCATCACAACGACGCCGGGCAATCGTGGAAGGAACACTCAGGCCCAGAACGTATCAGCAGCGTGCGCAGCATCGTTAGCGGTGTGTCTCATATGAGAGTATAGGTGATGGGAACTTAATGTTAGTACGAATATTTTCAGGTTTCGAGTCACGGACGTCGGGTCCAACACAACAACCACCTCCGCCATCGACACCACCCCCTTCCTTACCTAAAACTCCTTTGCCGAAGCCTTCTCGGATTCCTCCACGTATTGCAGCAAAACCGCGGCTTCCTAGTTCACAGATTCCCACACTCTTGGGAGAAGCTAGCCCTCGACCCCTGCAGAAGAGCCTAGCATTGGCCCGGACACCTTCATTACCGAAAACGTCTCCACCACGAATCCCTACTGAGCAAAGGTCAGTTTTTCAAGCGTTAGTCTCACAAAAGTATTGTACGGGGAGTTCTGGGGAGGTGAAAAGGCTGCTCAGTACCGTACACGTCCACATCGAATTCGCGAATTTGCGACAGTAATGACTCGCCTAAAAAGCTTTATATTTTCTTCCACTTGTACTCTTAACAGGACTCTTCTACTAGAACGAAGCATAGATTGATAGGTCAGGTGTTGGCAGTTTAGAGAGCCTCTTATATATCACCGGTTTAGCGGAAGGTCGTACACCTGATGCATTCCTAGAAAGCATAAAGATGATAACATAATTAGCATAAAAATAAAGATTGCCTTACAGGGCTCCGAAAAGGGATATGCGGTGTTTCCAGCCGATCCAATGCTGAAAAGTCGCTGCCTAGACGAAAACGAGCTTTCTCGACGGTCAACGAACCCACTGCTCCAGTGAACTACTCAGCTATACCAAACGTCGCCAGGTGGCTGTGCCCCAGGACAACAAGAAGGAAGAGGGTTATTCCACAGAATCGTAGCAGTTTCTCTGGCCAGATTCTGACTGATCGTGAGCTGTTAACTCATGTGTTTCACCTCGTGCGTGTTATGGCATGCTCTCCACTCCAGTGATCTCTTGTTGTGTGATTTTCACTTATTCTGTTTTCTCTCTTTTTCAAAGAACACAACGGGTTTTTGCGCTTCACTTATGTTTGAATGAATCATTACGCACGTTTATATACGACAATATTATTCAGAACAAATTCGATTTAGTCTCTGAGCCGATTTCGTTGTCTAAGTAAGATTCCGGTCAGCTCCTTGATAATCTCTTCGTTTTCGGAGTCACTGTCAGTGGAACATCGGTTTCCATCTGCAAAGAAAACCGATAATCGACAGGAAAGCAATAAAAATAATAGAAAAATAAAACTAGTGGCAGTCGTATTGAAAATCGGTTATGCATTGTATTTCCAGACCGAAGCGCATTGAGCAGCGAAGGTTTGATTCCGCGATTAGAATGCTCAGCTCTTGGCGCGGTTGGCGGAGACGCCCACAGAATATCTAGCACTCGTCGGAGGTCTAATACGTGGCCGCATTTTTAGATGATAGATAGCCAGAGAGAGCGTAGTGTAAGAGGGCACAGGTGAGAGTTGCTCAATGGGACCCCAGAGGCCGGCGCGGCATAAAGGCATTAGCGGCGAGTCTGCGGGGATCCATGGGCGATTTCACGTTAGTTAACGCCTGTTGACGACCGCGCATGGCGCGCGGGCCAATCATATCGTCGTTTCCGGGAACCGTATGGACGACCGGCAGAGGCCATGGATCAATCTTCTACTCTAACTTTTTGCCATTATTTTTGAAAATTTGTTAGTTACTAATATTTCATCTACGCAGAACTACAAAATAAGATATAAAAAACCCCAGTCAGCAACAGAACTAGAATATATCTTCTAAAGATGAGAAATCAGACAATAGGACTAAAACACTTCTAATGGCTAATGTTGAAAATGTCATATTTTCCACAGAGTAAGAATACGTTTATGTGGTGGGTTTTGAAAAACCGGAGCAGTATTTAGTCTCCAATTGTTGCACACTTAATATTCATAGCACACTTCGTCGATAGGACCCAGTCGTTGGCGGCCTCACTAGTTTGTTTGGTCTTGTGACAATTGGGTGAATCGCAGTTGGAGGGGGCCACTCCATTGGTATCATTATCCATAGTACTAGAGAGGCAGTTCTTTGGACTATCAGAACATACGGTAATAGATAAGTGACGACTCATTTTCGGGTACTTTTGATAAGGACCGGTGAGATGTCTAACGTTAGAAAGTGCTGCCCCACATCACATCCACTTTTCCTGCGCAAGGTGATCACCCTGAGGAGCTCCTGAACTCTTAGCCTTTGCGGAAGGTGTCCTTTTTCTGTGCGCAGGAACGTTCCCTTGGATCTGGCAGGCGGAACAAAGTGAAGCGGTTTATCAGGGTTTCTCACCCATGTAAACAACATTTATCAGAAAGTCTACTTTAAATGAAGTCGATTACGTGTCGTGAGCCTCTAATCCTTATTTGAGTATAGAGGAAAAATGGAGTGGCCCCAACTGGAGTTTCACGGCAAATTATTCAGATGTATAGGCAATAAGTTGTAATACGAATGAGAACGTAAGTAAGTGAGATTCTGGTAGGCGGCTGGAAGAGGCCTGTAAAAAGCTACTATGCCCCAAGGTCATCGAAGTCAATGAAATGGTCAGGGTATGTAGTAAATGTCTAGATGAGCAACGTTATCTGTCATTGTCCACAAATAATAAAGAAGAAGCTTGGAAGAAAATTCGTATTATAATACTAAGTCGATTTTGATGGCAAGTCTCGCGCCAGACAAAGATTGTTTTCGGTAGGCTGTAAATCAGAAGTACTATCAAACATTATTTATGACCTAATGATTCTGCAGGCTTTTTATTGGTTCTTCTCAGTACTATGGTGATATTCGTCTGCGTTTGAGGTAGGTTGATTTAGTCGCGAGCGACTTAACGAAAAGTTTTGCATTCAGCTCAAGAATTGGCTATACATTAAGCAAAGATGCGGTCTCACTGGGCCCGTATGACCGCCTTCTGCGGGCACATAGCATAGTTTTGTTTCTGGCTTGCGCCACGCTAGACAGTTTTGAGCGCTGTTCGTCAAAGGGTCAAGAGAGTGTCCCATTGCTGTCTGCATGCAACCGCCTGCACTACGTCCGACGACTCTGCTTCATCGGCGAGGGCCTTGGGGGAGTACAACGGCGACGGACTAACAATTTTCGTTCGTGGGTTAGGAAACGGGCAAATTGCGCGAGAGCGCGCGGCGATCGACGCATTGGGGGATACTCCACGTAACGGGTGTGGAGATTGGGTATAAATTCGCAAGGTTCTGCAATACAAAATACAATCTGAACGGTGGAATTTTGAGACAGCGGTTGAGTTGTAACGTAGAAGAGATAGATATATGCGTAGTGGTGTTACGCATCAGGCGTCATGTCTTTAGAGGGACGTTCATAGGGGGAAGTGAGAGCGAACACTGTTTGGGAAGAGCTTTAGGAGGAGAGATTATGGGGAAGTATTTTTGGTCTCTGCGTTCTCTTGTGCTGGGTTGCTAGGATCTGCCATCGACGTCTTCGAATTTTTTTCTTTGGACGGTGAGCGCTCGATCAGCAAAACTAATATGGTGGACGGTATACTCATCAAGATCAGCCCAATTCAGTGACTCTTATTTGCTTTGATGTAAGTTGATCATTCATAGAATGCCCTCATCAAATGCTTAGCGCTGGATTCTCCTCCCGATATGCTGACTTCAAGCTCCGCGAGAGCGAAAGATTAAACAGAAGAACCATTGTGAGTTGTTAAGCAATCTTGCACAACGCGCTTGCACGTGTTGAATTCTAACCGAAGAAACGCAAAGCCTTTCGCCGTTCAGATCGCGGGTGCCACGGGAAGTCGCCGCGTGACAGCCGGACGACGCAAATCCGCACCGGTTCTGCATCAATCGGCAAATCAAGAGCAGCAAGGTCCCATTTCTTGCTCAGCGCAGTTTGAAATGGTTTTCTTCTTTCCCGTGCTCCATAATTAGCTTAGTTCAATGGCTAATTTTCATTGTCAATTTTGCCTTCAATGAATCACATGATATGATACTCGTGTCGTCAATCTACAACCAGTTTTGATAACCCTTCATCGTCCAGGAATGCCGGGAAGTCTACGTTCTTTGGTAGACCTCAAGAAGAAGGAGATATGTGGACGTAAGTAGCAAGGTGAACAGGGCTTTAGGGACAGCTTTTAAAGCAAAAGGTCGGGAATTAGTTGACTAAAAAATTTCGGTCATGTCTGTACTGGTTACGAGCGTGGAGATGTTCCCACGCTCGAAATCTCGACGACGCGGTTAGCCCCGGGCACGTCTTACGCTAGTCGCGCTGCCCGCTACGACGCCCCCTTGGGATGTGGCTGGGCAAAACGTGTGAAATACACTAGCTTGATGCGTTCACGATAGAATGAGCTGTAAATCTTCAAAAACTTTGTTTGTACGTGGCTTATCTCCAGCACTCCTTAACTGAATAGTGGGAGAGGGTTCTGTTACGGTTTGTGACGGTTTTTTCCTCAGTTTTTTCTTCACACATGTGTGTCCGCTTGCATCTCTATATCCTTCATCGCATAATACCCATTGTTGGGCCGACTTTTGCTTTAGATTGAGCGTCCTATTAATGTCTGGCGAAGGGCATGTCATGCATCTTCACTATAAATGACTTGCAGTAAAGTCATGTTGGCAGTCAATTTATTATAAGCTAGTCCCTATATTATAATAAACACATAGGCAAACCTGGAGATTTCAGAGCTTGGCTGGGCTGCCATGCTAAGACTCATCTGATTTTTCTATCGAATACAGACTTATGATGAGGCGCACCACACGCATACTAAGTACTGGAAGGTTGATAGTCAGAATTAATGTTCCTCAATTACAGTTTTTTCAAAGGGTGTTGTGGATCTATTTGTAAGAAAGGAATTGCGCGTTTGTACATGCCCACATTCTTTACGACATTCTACTTCGGGCATTACACTGTAACTATCCCGGAAATGTGACGCAATGCGCAGCGAACATCTTGCCTTTCGCTTGAAACATAGTCGGGCCAACATCAAGAAGCCTTGCTGTCTGCAACGGGAGCCATTGTGAGGCATTGCCACATTCTGTAATGTTGATAGTTGTGTATCAGACTGTGAACCTTCATGTTCCACTCTAATTCGGGAGACGACGCGAGGGACAGCAGTTTAGCGTTAACTAACAGGCAATCAAGGGCTGACGTATATTAGAGAGAGCAAGAAGAGAAAGGGAGAGAACAGTCTAGCGCTAAACGTAAAGGAGTAAGAACCTTCAAAAATTGATTGTGTGGGTTGAGGTGAGAAAGATGAGAGAAAATTCGGAAACGAAATGTAATGAAGTGGAACTACAGATGATATTTAAGAGTTTTGAAAGGGACTTGTGATGTATCCAATTCGATTTTTTTATTAATTTGGAATTGCGACTAGCGTTATTTTTGGCTTTTTCTTCAGTTATCAGACCCATGGCACAGACAGCTTCCTTCTGATCCTAAATGTCATTTCAAGAAAAACCGCCGATAGTGTTGATTCCATATAATTGTTGAAAGTTAGGTCGTGAAGAAAGTTCTGCGCTTTGTGGACTTGTTTCAAATTGCCTGTATCTGGCCTATATTCGAAACCTTTTTGTTGTAGTGACTTTGGAATCCCAACAACTGTCAATGAAAAGCTGCGTTGAAGTCAGCGTAGTGCATGAATACTGGACCTAGAGACGAGTGCCGCTGTGAGCGTGTTTTCGCATCATTTGAAGTTTTGAAAGGATAATATCCTTGGAGAACTATCGGTAGTCGAGAAAGGGACAAATTATAGGCTGAAGGTCTACCGAGTGGGATAATCGCAGAACTAATTCGTAGCCAATTTTGTCCAACTTCTGCAGGGTTGGTGGTGGAACGTGCGTCCGAGCTACCTGTCAGGGACGAGCCGGTTCCTTTATAATGAGGAATTTCGAGCATATGTGCTAGAGTTATAGGAGTAATTTTACCCATTATCAGGAGTACTTTTTCTACATCAACGGATCCACCTGGTTACGAAAAGTTAGACTAGCCGCCGACCTTATGAAAGTCACCTCAACCTTCCTTCACTAAAGTTTCACTTTTGCAAAGTTTGTAGAGCCTGATCGCGGTCGATCACTTCACCAAAGGCTCGTATTCTGTAGCAAGAAATCAGTTCTTTGTCGTGGGTCGCAAATGATCAAAAAGTCAGGTCCTTCTCATGGCATGAAACAGGCTAGAACGCGCCAAACGACCCCTCAGAATGGTGAGCTGTCGCGGCACGCCCTATTAGAGTTTTTGTGAGTTTCCAGCTCTTCCCGTACAACAAGAAGACACAATGCAAGTGCGTTTAGTTTAGGAGAAACTCTCCAAATAGTTCTATGCAAACGTGCTTCAATTAAAACGTTTGGCTAATCGTTGGAGTTGTCCAATCTCCGGTCACCACCCGCACAATATTTAGGGCTCTGCTATTCTTACAAATGCTTTTTGAACAATTGCTTCAGGCCGTATTTATTACGAATCTCAGCCAAGTGCGTCTATAATATCTTGACCTGCTTACTCTCCATACTGGCCTGGTTTGAGCTTGAAAACGGAAATAATGCAAATTTGCTCTTGGAGCATGCCGTATTCAAAAAATGACAACTAAATAATAAGGAGCATAGCTAGCCTAGCTGTTAGACAGAAAGAAAAGCTCTTCAAAACCGCAAACATCTCATTGGCGGCTTCGGAATTCGTAACAAAATAAAGCGTTCAAAAACGAAACACCGAAAAGCGCGAGAACTTTCTTCACGACCTAATATAATTGTCCAGGATCGACTTTCTTTTAATCTTGGCATTGTTGGATCAGATGAGTGCTTGACTGTAGCCGTCCATGATTAGGTAAGTTTATTAGGCTAACGTTTCGGCTTCTTCGCCTTCGTCAGAACCTGAAAAAGTCAAAAACAAATGTGACTTGGCCGCTAATCTTGGACGGCTACAGTCAAGTACGGATGTAAAAGTAGAGGTGTAAAAAACCGAGTAGAACGGTCGAAAACTCGAGAAACGGCACCCTCTCTCCCGCCTATTTGATTTCAAAGTTTGATGAGCTAACCACGGCTGTTGGCGCTTTGGGCCGTTGCAGCAACTTGTTTTCGGAATAAAACTACTACTAGTAGCACATTTCATAGTTGAACGCAACGATTACGATAGGTTCTAGGAAGGTTTACAGGCGACGTGGTGGTGCTCAATGGTACGCCAGTGGCGAAAACAGCAGAAACCCGATGGCACCATGACCGAATCCCAGTCCAGTTGCTGCAGTCGTGACACTGCTCGCAGCGCGGCTCGTCCAAATCACCATCTAGATTAGTGGGCGGATCGCTTTTGGGTCTTTCGAAGTCTTGCTCAGTAACCAGTGCACTTTCGTCCCGTGAAAATCACCACGACTCGCTCCTTGGGTAGGCCCAAGTAACTGCATCATGTGTCATACGTGGTACCAAGTATGTGGACCCCTAGAATCGATTCTCAGGTCAGCTAAAGGCTTTATGTGTTATGAACCTTCCAATCAAACTCCGAGTGTCTATACCTAAATGACATTCTCGCAACGACTTTCGTTTCACTTCAGCAAACTCTTTTCTGAAATTTTTTTTTGTATCAAAATTATGTGACATCCTGAGCAGATGCATTTTGTGCATCGATTTCTAATATTTTCTTTCCTTTCGTTACTTGTTTTGGGCTATTCTCTTCACGGCAAGCCGTTTTTCTGAAAAGACATAGCACAGAATGGATCCCATGTTTTAACCTTCTATCGTCGGATAAGTCCACGCATGCTTCGTATGTTTTGGAGGAAATCCGAATATGAAGCTCTCGCCTTGTGAGGTTGTTCTCAGACGATTTGTCTTCAAAACAACAGAGAATAGGCCTTGATTTTCTCAAATTTTTCTTGTTACATACTAATCAACTAATACGCATAAATGATCTGCAGATCTTGAAAAGACCAATCGGTATCTCATTCAATCAAATGACACGACGACACAAAGAAGATGAAGAAAGCTTTAGTAAATGAGATGCGGGTTCAAGTTGGCTAGTTTGGGATTCGCCACTCAAAAAATGATCACAGATATGATACTTGAAGCCCGTAGATAGTGCTTTCGTGAATGAAATTAGTATAGAAAAAGACTTTCTGTGGACTTTCTTTCAAGCGCCAACTCGACTGGCAGAAATAAGCTTTATTCTCATTATACGGGATGGTATTGTGGTTTTGGGGAGACGATGTCGGATCGCAGATGTGCTCGAGAGACAATTCGGAAGATGTCATAACAAGGTTGGGTGGTTTTCAACAGGAGGACGACATTGGAATTTGGCTTGTCCACTGATGTTAGATAACCACTAGGATTAAGAGGTCCTTGCTCCCGCTACAAATTTTGATAAATCCATCGTGGCATAATCACTTGTTTTGGCAGGCAGTGGAGGTCCCTACCACGCATTCCTTTGCAGAATGCTAAGCGCACGGCTTTGTATTGGCACGTCGCTAGCGTATTCCTCAGACTAATTTCTTATTGAAAACGTAGAGGTGTCGTGGTTCGCGGTCTCATACGTCTTGAACAACAGAGTTATACAAGTGGCCTAACACTCGGTGAAATTTGCAAGTTGTGACAGATCTGCAAGACATTATCCCGACCCGACTTCATAGCATGCAACAAATGCTAACTTACAGAAATTGTGGTATGGCCTACCGATTTCTAGATTCTGAAGATATTGCGTTTTCGAAAAAGTTTTCACATAATTTTGATAATAAGAAAACTTTCGCATGAAAAATAGTTTCGGCTCCAGTTAGAACGAAATCTTTTGCGGAGATCTTGTAGGTTATCGGCACTAGAGTTGCTGTAGGGAAGTCTCTGACATAAAACATTAGCTGCCCCTAAAATAGATTCCAACATAGCCGCGGCGGCCCGCCCACGCCCCCGGCCCCGGCGCGCCACGGCGGCCGCGCGCAGGCCCCGCCGCCCCGGTACCGTTGTCCACATACTTTTGTACGCCTGTATGCTACTCTACGACGCGCTCCTCTTTATGGCATTCGCTTCTTCAACGCATTTAATATGTATCCGTATCCTGCAAGAAGAGCATCCCCGTCAAAGCTATGCTGGATGTCAAAAATTCAAAAGGTGGGGCGTTGCTCCATTACAACGCATATTCCGGGGTGGTATAAAATTTTGGATTTCTGTTAGCCTTTTTGTGCACACTACTTAACTTCGTAGTATGGCCTTCTGCGCGAAAAACGCCCCGACAACCTATTCTCAGGACCGGATTATTCCCCACAACTATCTTTTCTCCATTAACATGATTTGTCTATCGCAAGTTGGCTTCAAGACCACGCGACATTGACTTTGTGGCTACGACGCTATTGTAGAAACAAATTTTCTAAATAAAATCTCACGTCTCCATACAAGCTCTACTTCGGAGCCATTGTCAACAGCGCTGTTCTTGGGAGAGACAGCTGAAAATTAATAAAATCTCATAATTGTCATTAAGATCAACGTTTTTTTAAATGCAGAGTGCTCCTTTCTCGCGACATTGAGTTCACTACGGTGAGCTCTCAATTTGGGGGAGGGCTTTTCCCTGTTATCATTACCGTAGTATTAGAGAGCGTTCCTCTTGAGCTTCAACACCGTGGACGAGATATAAGTAAACGATCTTTTATTGTTTTTTTATAAGGAGGCGGGATACCTACTCACAAATCTGCTCACATCGGCAAAATTTATAGATGTGATCGTCCGTCCTGGAGCACGATACCCTTGGAACCTAGGCAAGATGATCCTACTAGTTCAGGACGTTTCCCTTGGACGAGGTCAGGCCAAATCTGAAAGTACCTTGGCGAGTAGTTCACAGCACGGTATCATGTCAGAATATGTTCAAATGAATCGTAACTTATCGTGAAATATTCTTATTCTTATCCTTTGCATGAAAGACACATCAGAGTGCCTCCCAAACTGGATGTTCACTGTTCAGTGCTCTGATCTTATTTTTCTTTACCGACTTATTTTGCTGCACAAGAAGTTTTACTTGTGAAAGTCTTCCAAAATAATCCTGAAGCGGATACGTTCACAACGAAATCTTGATACGAGGCTCGAAGAAGGATTCCAGACTATACCAAGATTCGGCCCACCTACTGGTACGTGGGCGACAGCAAAATTTCACGGATGTCCGAGGCGTCATCTCAGGGTTATTTTTGGCATTTGAAAGAGCATGACTGTGTTACGGTAGACGAATGGTGCCTTTAGGCAAATTTTTTCACTCATTGAGCCGGCTCGCTGCGACCTCATGACCTTTCTCAAAGCCACGGGTCGGGGTTAGGTGCCAAGTAGTAGTCGGTCCTAGGGTGAGGGAGAGGTTGACATGCAACAGGCGATGACTCAGAATAAAGCATGGTTCAGATGGCAAAATGTTCCATATGGAGTCAAAAAGGTAGAACCAAACAACGTTTCAGTAATCACTTGAGGGATTGATTCACCTTGGCTGCTTCTTCTTTACTTCAATATGAACGGGGTGGAGTGTGAACGGAAGGCCAAACCGACAAGGTAAGCTACAGCGAGCATTCTTATACCACCTGAACAGTGATAGATGGTAACACGTGTGGACGCGCCGTTTCCTTGCAAAAAATGTCAAAAACAAGAGAATAGCTGAGAAGGGAAACTCGAGGAGCTTTTCAATTAGACCTGATCAACTGCTGATCACGCTGTTAAAAGCAAAACCTGGGATTAGTCCGACTAGTAGGATACCGCGATGGAAATTGAAGGGTCCGTAGCTCACAATTAAGCGACTATGGCGCTAATGCTGATGGACTTGCAAGCATCGATGTACGTTGCAAGCTCCCCAACCATCGCGATTGATGTAGAGATCAGCGTGCTCTCTCGAACAGCGTGCTCCCTTCCGTGATATGCCCTTGTTGATCACCCTGTCTCGCCTATGTACCACATCCACCTTATTGAAGGGTAAGGCCTTGATTGTAGTATCCAGATGATTCCTCTTGCTTTTCTTCCCACTTCAGCTCATTTCGCAGCGCAGTCATCACTAAGAAGCTCTATTATACCCCAGTTTTATCCCGGGCTAGCCTTTAAAGGCAAAGTTCGGACTCAGACCCACCTAAAAAGCCCACACCATGGCTGAAAGGACTGGGCATGCAAGTGCGAAGGTAGCGCTCTCTTTCCACATCGAAATGCGTCACTACGACCCTAGGCGCCATTGACTTCTAACAGACTCCACCAAACTTGACATGGTCCACCCACCGTTTAATACCTTGTCTGCGTCGCCACGTTGATGTGTGCTCTCTCTTCTCGGACTTCTCTACAACCCTCTGGGTTCAAAAATTCTCTCATCTACATGCCTGTCTCTTGACCATCTCCACAGATGTGGAACAAAATGCTCATATTTTCTGTGTATTTCAAAATTTTCTTTCCTTTTTTCTTCACTGGAGGTCCACCTCCCATTTCCACTTTCACATCTGAGTGGAATTAACCTATCAATATAATCCTGATTTTTGCCTTTAAGGCATTCAGACTCTGATTCAGATTTTCCTGATGTATTCAGTGCTTTATCGTAAGCGGACTCACTTCTTCGCTCTCTTATCGCCTCCACATGCTTCTCAAGATTCGGTGATTCCGTTCCGGGATGCCTCTCATGTATTCCTACATCACTGTGTCTCACATGACGTCCTGTAAGAAAATTACATGACTTCTGTGACTTCAGCGCAACATGAATTGCCTTCCGGATATGTCTTCTGTGGATGTAATAAAGATGAACAACACTGTAAAAAAATCCTAAAAAATCTAAAAATGAGAATTTCAGCTGTTCCTAAACCAGGCGGGAGTAACTGCGGAACTTACCAAATGAGAGAGATTCCTAACAAAATGGCATGCAACATCTGGTCCGCTCCTTGTCGCACCCAATAAAATTAGGTACTCGGCAACTGACTACTTGCTCTGCCTATGAGCGAGCCAACATGCATGAATCGACGCTCTGACTTCGGTTCTATTTGGTTTTGCGCTAACCAAAACATCTATCCCAACACCAAACTTAAGCACAGTAATTTGTGCAAATGCTTTTTGCCATTAATGACGCATTTTGTCGCGCCTCACGCACCGCCAGGAACAGAACGCTTCGGAAGTCCCTGGTCCCCGAAAATTTAACGGTGCTAGTTCTTAGATGACAACGGCCAGCGGGCCCCTGGCGCCTGCCGGACTAACGCTAGGGAAAGAAGACGAAAAAGTCTTTATGATGCAAGCGTGTGTCTCCCCTTTCATGATCATCGCTTCACTTCAAACCGTTAAGGATAATCATTTTGGCCGTTGATCAGATCCCCTTTTTCGGATGCGGCTACGCATTCTACTTCTACCTTCCAATTTGTTCCCCATTCGTAGTGGCATTTGAATGCGAATGTGCCCTAATACAGGGGGGGAGCCAAAAAAGAGTTCACTCTTATCACATTCACCAAAGAATTATATTACAACTTTGCTAGAACGCAAACCGAATAGCTCAAAATTGCGTATTGAAGAGCACATTCCCTCCATCTAATACTACATTGCATAGTGGTCTCTCTCTTAAAACCGACGACACAGAAGAAATTTTCCCCACGAAAACATGGTTCGCGGTACTAGCTCAACGGCGTCGTTTGAGAAACCATATGATGATTATCGACACCGTCTCTGAAACGCTGGTCAAAAGCCATTTTTGCAATAGTCCGTAGCTAGTCTCCTACAGAATTCCGTTTAAACCCTTTATCCGATTGAAGGAATTTATGTAGCAGCTTCAGAGGAGGCGATCATTGGCAGGCCTCCTAAGCTCAAACGGTGATGATAGATGACGTCATATGCCTGGAGACGGTGAACGCAGGAAGGTGGGGCCCATTATCTTATGTGGACATCTAAGGATGATGCGCCGAGATAGTTCCAATAACAAGAGGAAAATCCTTCTGCCGACGAAAAGTTTAATGATTATGCGCGCAGAGCAAAGTGCCTCTTTTTTTGCGTCCCCTACCCCCCTGTCAATGACTTGACGGGGCCAGCCGATGTACAATCAGTGTTTCTTATCCTCCCAGACAAGTCCTGGAACCGCCATATAAAGCGGCTCGAGGGATGGAAGGCTCGCTTGCCCGGGCGATCCTCACTAACCCGGGACTTGACTCCCTGGAACCGCCCGCTCGTGTAAGCTGTGCCACTTTGCACTTCACCACTTCCGCCCATTGCTTCATTTACTACCAAAATGTTATATCTTTCGCATATTCGCACGATGTCTCGTTATGGAGAGCAATAGTGTTTGTGCAACACCATTGTAAACCATCAGTACTTCTAAAGCGACAACCCGAATCGGAGCTAAACCAGCAAGCATGGGGCATGCGAAAACTTAATGCTGCGTTTTACATTACAATTGAGATCATCATCTTAGGTGAACAACAGAAACACCTACAACACACTTGGTCCGCCCAGCCGAAATGCTATGATCAACTCTCCGCTAGTGTAAATATGGCCGGAGTGAAGCCAATCAGTAGATGAGTCGAGACAAACTGGTTGGGTCGAACCGTGATTAATTTTGGATAAAATAAGCAAGCTCCCTGCCAAGGATTTTTCCAGCAACTTCTTAAGCCTACTCAAAATACGGTGGATAACGCATAAGGTAAACGGAATTCAGTAAGAATGGTACCATGACCTGCCGTAACATCCCCTCACATTAATGAAAATCCGTTTCACGAGCTTGACCATCCTCTGTTTGCAACGATTCCACTGCCTCCAACCGTTTCGAAAGTTCCATAAAGCAGTTGCCTTCCTAATAAATTCGTCGAATGTTGAGACAGAATTTCATACTCAAAGCAATCTGCTCTTCAACGTTTTTCCTTAACAAATTTTATAATGTCCAGTTGGGTCGTGGTTGAATTCTGGTCAGACAAAAACCTGCCTTAAAATGGGCGTTTTTCGGCAGAAACGTGTCTCACCCGAGAAAGAAATAGGTTCACTCACTTCCTTCTGGAACGGCCTTTTTCTTCATACGTTTTTCTTCGACTTTCACATCACCTATTTCCCGTATTGCTTTTCTTCGTGGTTTTTTCTCCGCAGCCGCATTTCCCACCGGTTCTCCGTACATCTTCTCTGTCTTTTTTGTTCAGTGGTTTCTTTTGATCCCATACGTTCGAGCTTTCCTTCCTTTGGCTTTTTGCTCAATCTGCTCTCCACGATGTGATGCCTTTTCGACAATTCTTCGCTTTGTTGCCAATTACACCCTCTCCCACACCACCGCCAAGTTGGAGGCTTGGCTTATTTCTATCTCCTTTTGTTCGCTTCTTCTCATTCGGCGTGCTCCCTGTTTGCCTGGCTTGAAAATAGTTCATACGTATAAAACATGAACATTGCATTATAATCTTGTGCAGCTACGCAAAATGCGGGCGCTTTTGTGGTTAGGTTATCCATTCGGAACCGCATATTACATACCTTTTTCAAAAACGAACAACAAATTCCAAACATCAGCCTGGGGAGAGACATTTCTGGATACGCGAGAATTGCATTAATAATCGCTTTTAACAATAAAAATTGAAATTCCTCCAAGCGGTCTGTAAACAGAAACAACAGTCCTTTTGAGCATTTTATAACAAAGAAGAAGGCGTAACTCAAAACACGTGGTATTTGCGAAATTTGGAATGCATGATCGCACATAGGCGTGGGCGTTGGACGATTTGGAAAGGAAGAGAAAATTTTACGAGAATCAGAAGGAGTTTCTATGAATTTCAGCTCAGTCATAAATAATTATTACAGGCGATTCTGCACTAGCGTAAATGTAGACACGAATTTGAATCGTATGGGGGTTGTATTTCAGATGAGAGGTCGTACAAACATCGAAATTTTCCAACGTTAGGGCTGTTCATCTTAGGTACTAGAAAGGTATGGATTGTTTCCACAATCCAAAATGCTTCTCTTCTACCATTCACCAATGACATAATGCCTGTTTCACTAAAAGGGCCCGTCACCCTACTCCCCCCAGACTGTACCAGAAAATTCTTTTCCGGAAACCCAGCGCACCGCACGAGCTCAACGAGGCCGTCGATATGTTGTGGACCTATACGGCTTGTTGAAACTTTGGTCGACAGCGGTCTTGCATAGTCACAGCTTCTGTTCGAAAAAAACTAGTCCCAGTCACTAATTATGTAGCAGCTTCAGGCTCGTGCCATTACGGTAGGCCTCCCTGAGCTCGATGGTGATTGCAGATGACGTCATATTCTGGAGACGGTGAAGGCAGTGATGAAGGGCCTTCTGCTTATATGACTGGACATCCGAGAGATACTTTGCCATTAAACTTCCAACAGCAGTGACATCCTGCATGACGAATAGATTGGTGCTGTGCGCATGGGCAAACTGACTTCCCGAATGTATACTACCATAGCATACTGTCCGCCGGCGTTCCAACAGAAATATTACTGCGCATATTCGGTACACGAGGAATATCTTGCCTCGACTTCAACAACACTGGAAGTTGCCTTGACGAATAGGATTGGTGCGTGCGCATGGGCAAAGTGGCATCTCGTAGGAACACTAGCCAGGAGCAGCAGCGAGGTCATCGAGTATTTCACAGGACAGATTCGTAGTATAGTGTGACAGAAGGACGAAGATATCGCTTCTTCGGAGTATAAAAGAGTTGCAATGCGAAGCTGCTGTCCAATGGATCCAAATAATCAATTTTTTTGATTCTAGCGGGAAGAGCATACGACCCTTTAGCATGCCGCATTGACCATGTAATGATATACAGTGCGTACCAAAGTTTGGACACCTAGAAACGTTCTAATGAGGGCAGCAAAGGACTTTTGTGTTGTTAAAACCTTCCATTCAACTGGCTAGTGGTCCGTAACTACCCATGATCATCTGACAAGATTTCGTTGCTAGACTGAGTGACTATTTTTCATGGAAAGTTTGGTATTTTGACCAAATATGTGCACCCTGAGGCAGATCTAAGTTTTTGTAATAATTTCCTAACTAATTGTATTTCCTTTCGTTACTTTTTCTGGCATCATTTATCTTCACGGCAGCGTTTTTTGTTGAAGAAGACCGAGCAGAATGGGAGCCCATGCTTCTGAACTCCGATTGCGGATGCACGTAACACGATGTGTCCTCATAGGTTGGAGAGTAATCGAAACTGATGCTAGGCGCTCGACCTTGAATGAAGGGTTGTCTCATGCGCTATTGTTCAAACTAGGAAAATGAAGAGCGTTAATTTTCTCATATTATTCTTCGTTACTCAACCTTACGAATTAAAATGCGCTCCCATCTTTAAAAGACCCATCCCCGGTGTCTCATTTACTAATTGAGCACACGACAGGAGAGGATAAGAAGATTTGTGATATACTTTGGACTGTGAATGCGGGTTCAGGTTGGCAAAGGTTTGGAATTCCACTCAAAAGCTACATATGATATCTTGAACACAGACAGACGTCTTGTGGAAATGTAAATTGTATAAAAGATTTCCGTTGGAAATTTCTTCGACAACTCGATGGCAGAAAGAGCTTATTCCTGCATATTCGGGGGTCTTGAGGTTTGTTTGGAGAGATTTTGGTGAGACCGCGATGTTGCGAAGAGACGATTCGGAGGTGTTCATCAAAGGGCTGGGGTTGGTTCCAAAAGGAGGGGGACAGTGGAGTTTGGCTTGCCAATGTCAGGTAACACGAGGATTATAATGAGGTGCTTGAGTCCGGATAAGCTTTTTCGAAAAGTCTGTCGCAATCACTTTGTTTGCAGGGAGTCTTGACACATCCATTGGAAAAATGCTAAACGCAGGACGGCTATGATGGCAAATTCGCTAGGTATTCCTCCGACTGATCTTATTGAAAAAGTAGAGGTATCGTTTGATTCGCGGGCTCTGGTTCACAAGAGTAATATCAGTTTCCTAATGTCGTGAAAATTAGCTTAGTGAGGACAGATCTGCAAGAATGTATTCAGACCCTTATAGATGCCAAACGGTGGCTCATTTACTAGAACTTTGGTAGGGGCCTACCGGATTCATGGATTTTGAGATATTTGCGTTTTTCAAAGTATCAATTTTTTGTATACAAGAAAAACTTTCCATGAAATAGTTCGCTAGTTGGACGAAATCTTTTTGCCGAGATAGTTCATGGTAGGTTATCGACTTCATAGGAGTTGAATGGTAGGAGTTTGTATGAACAAAAGCTCCTTTTTGCGGTGACCTTGAGATCATTCAGGGTGGATCCACAAAACGGTTGGGGGTAAGACTGTATGATAATCCCGGGAGATATTCAGTGAGAATTCTGTCCAGTACAGTTGCTCTGATATTTTGCCACTCCCTTGGCGACATGAGCTGACGGGGGCACGAGAATGATGGTTCTGATGGTTCCAAACACAAGTAATCGAGGCTGCCTACATTGAGTATTATGTATAATAGGCAGTTTCTGCATTTATTATCATGTGTTTATATGGTGCGTGAGACACGTTATTAATAGTGTTCAAATTACGCTCTAATTAGCGGTGGGTTCTCGTTCGTTAGAAGCATATCACGTGCTCACACAAACTGATGATTTCTTTTACGAAGACTCGGGAGTTCCGTTCGTGCTACTGCAAAATTCTCATTTGAGCTTTGGACATTGTATTATTCCAGAGTTCTTCTGTTACAGAATAGTTTTCAATATGCTCGCCGAGAAGAAGTCTAGGCTTCGGAAAATGCCCGATCGCGGAAAAAAGAAAACCCTGGGGCAGTCGTTATGAGAAACATATATAATTGATTAGTGGTTATAATTTTGATGTAGTAAGTATTAACCTGTTGATGTAAGTATTAAAAGTGACAAACAATCAATTCCAATTAGAAATAAGTTGCAGGCGTTGATATACGTCAAACAAGTGCTATCTGTGTAGCTGTTTGATACAATGTTTAATCTGATGAAAGAGTCAGAATGTTAAGCCTGAACGAGATCGTTAGTTGTACAATGAGTATGTTTTAACAAAGATAGTGCATCAATAAAGAGGAATGAGTTGAGAAATGAAAAGAATATAAATAATCAAGACAGAGGACGTCGCGGGCGAAAGATAAGGGAGGCGTCGGGAGAAGAAGGATAGTTGCTTTCACATATGGAAAAGAGAATAGAGGACAAAGAGAAGGAAGAATGGAAATGAAATGGCACAAGAATATGGGAGTGGGAGAAATGAGGGCTTTACGATGACATACAAGGAGGAGATGATGTCGAGGTGTATCAGGAGTGATAAGAAAAAGGTGATAAGTACAGGGAAGAGATTTAACCTAGAGAACGTAAAATTGCATTGAGTTCATTGCTTCTTGATCATGTTTTCTAGAACGTAATTAGGTTATTTCGGAGTGCATATCTATGATCACTAGTTGTAGAGGTGGGAGTATAATGCCAACTGGCCCCGGTGACTTGAAGTGCTTACTCACCTTGAGTCGATATGCTTTGGATATGCCTCTTGATCCAGCTGTGTTTGAATTTGAATTGTCGTTCCCAGAGAGTGACAACGTATTCCGTTCGAAGATGAGTTGGAGGCTCTTAGAGGCGAGTTCAGGATGTCAATGTGGTAGAAATCCATGGCAAACATCCACATACTCATACATGGAGAGGCCGAATTAGTAATCAACCCAGGTTTGGACAGGAATCATTCCTCAGGAAATTACGATTTGTTTTCCAAGTTCTAGCCAAATTTGTTGTTCAGAAGGGCAGAATTCTGTGTTACCGCAGTTTACACGGCTCATACAGCCTTTATCCTGTTACTTTTATGAGTTTATAGGGTTTTCTATGCTTCCTTTTCCGCATAACGTCTTGGCATCGTAGCAGGGTGAGTTCTGAAATGCAGGAATCTAAAGAACCTTGACCTAGGCACGGCCCCATCTATCAAAAACTAATTTCAGTAATGAAGATGTCTCAAACGCTTTGCATGCAGTATGCAGGTACCCTAGATCTATCGGTGCTAGGGATTTGGGGAGCGGTTTTTGGCGAGGGTTCAAATCCGGTCTCTATCTGACAGAACACGCACTTCTCTATATGCGGCAAATAGAGGAAAATCAGTCAGGCTAGAACCCGAGTACAGTAGGGTCACTCGTGGTGATTGGCGAAAGTAGAGAGTTGCTCGGCAATCGATCAA